GCGTGAGGACAGCCAGGGAAATGATCATGCTGGGTTAATAGTTGGGCTCTAATCTAAGAGGGCTTTTCCAACATTTATGGTTCTGTGATTCTGTGACTGAATTCAGGGATTATCATTATTATTTTTTCAGTATCTTGAAGCTGATCAGCCTGAGGAGCCCCAGGTGGACATGAGGCCTGCCCTCGAGCTCCTTTAGCTCTGAAACTTTTAGCCTGGTACTGCAAATAATCATTTAGGTAGGAAAAGACCTCCAGGATCATCAAGCCCAGCTGTTAACCAAATACTGCCAGGTCCATCACTAAACCCTGTCCCTACGTGCCTTATCCACATATTTTTTCATGCTCCTCCAAATCATGATGACTTCACCACTTCTCTGGGCAATCTGTTCCAACATCTGAATGCTCCTTTTGTGAAGGATTTTCTCCTAATATCTAATCTAAACCTATCCTGATGCAAGTTGAGGCCATTTCCTCTTGTCCTACTGCTTGTTATCAGGGAGAGGAGGCCAACCCCCACCTGTCTACAACATCCTTCAAGGCACAGCACTGGCAGCAGGTTGGGTAGGGGATCCTGCCCCTCAACCCAGCCCCAGTGAGGCACATCTGGAGTGCTGTGTCCAGTTCTGGGTTCCTCAGGACAGCAGGAATGTGGAGCTCCTGGAGGAGGCCCAGTGGAAGCTACAAAGTCGATTCAGGGGCTGAAGCATCTCTCTTACAAAGCTGAGGGACCTGGGCCTGTTCCGCCTTGAGAAGAGGTGGTGGGGAGGGGATCTCACTCTTGTGTATCAGTATCTGAAGGGAGGTGTCAAGGATGGACCAGGCTCTTCTTGGCAGTGCCAGGGGACCCAGTGGTGAGCAGAGCTCCACAATAAAAAGTAATTACCTAATATATGCATGTCATGGTTTAACCCCAGACAGTAATTGAGCATCACACAGCCACTTGCTCACTCCCCTCAGTGGCATCAGGGAGAGAACTGGAAGAACAAAAATGAGAAAGTTCATGGTTTGAGATAGAGACAGTTTAATAGAAAAAGCAAGAGCTACACATACAAGCAGAGCAAAACAAGGAATTAATTCTACACTCCCCATGGGCAGGCAGGTGTTCAGTCATCCCCAGGAAAGCAGGGCTCCATCACACATAATGGTCATGTGGGAAAACAGAAACCATCCTGCTCACAATCCCCCCATTATTCTTTATTTCCACCTACGTTATACACTGAGCATGATGTCATTTGGTCTGGAATCCCTTGGTCAGTTAGGGTCAACTGTCCTGGCTGTGTCACCTCCCAGTTTTCCATGCACTCCCACTCCCCACACCAGCAAGGCACTGTGAGAAGTAGAAAAGGCCTTGGCTCTGTGCAAACCCTGCTCAGCAATAACAAAAACACCTCCATATCATAAAAACCTGTGTCCAGCATAAATCCAAATAGTCCCATACTAGTTACCATGAAGAAAAATTACCCCAGGCAAACACAGCACATTCCACTCCTTGTTCCATATCATTTACATCATGGTCAGGAGATAAAATACCCAAGACAACTTCATTGGCCATGACTTCCCATCCTTCAAAACAAACAGATGAGGTGTCTGAGTGACCAGAGCCCAAGACCTTCCAATCCTTCACACAAAAGGAGTGAAACCTGGTCTGAATGCATGTGAGAGGGGTGTGTAGGGTGCCAAGCAGAGCCCCCATCATCTCACTGGAGTCCTCTGCTGTGAAGAGGCTTCAGTCCCAGCAGTAAAATCTTCTGGTGGTGGGAATGTGGCCAGAGAGTCCCATCAATGGTCAGAGTAGTTTTCTTAACAAGGTCTGTACCACAAGGTTCTTTGTGTTCATTTAGTCCATGACTTTGGGCTCCTCAAGTCACCATGGCCACTCAGGACAGGAGGAGTGGTGGGTTGCACTGAGTTACTGGGCACCAAACCTGTCTCAGGCCGAGTCACTCTGCTCTTTCACTGCTGCTTTCAGTGCTTTTCCTCCACTGGTCCATGTGGCTCCTGGTACAGTGATTCCTGCAACATGCAACCCAAGCTATGGCTTACAGCATTTAAAGGTGCATCCAAAACAATCTCGTGGTTCTTTGGGGCCAGGTTACAGGCTTTGGCACTACAATGAACTCCTCCCCTCATCCCCAGCCTGGCTGCACAAGGAGTTCCTGCTATGGTCCACATCCTAGTCCTCCATGGCTGCAGGGACCTGCTCCTCACTGTCATCTTCACCACAGGTTTCAGGGGCATCTCTGCTTTCCCTCCTCCAGAGTGGTGTTCCACCCATGGGAAACAGTTCCACCCAAACTTCTCCAGCACAGATCCTTCCCACAGGCTGCAGCTCTTCACAAATGTGACAATCCTCACAGGTTCACAGCCTCCTTCAGCCATTAAGCTGCTCCAGGACATGCCTGCTCCAGCACGAGCTCCTCCAGGGGATGCCTGCTGCATTGTGGGCTCATCCACAGTTCACAGTCCCTTTGACTTGGAGTCCCAGTCCAGCACAGACACACCAGTGATGCCCTGACCATCTGCCAGCCCAGGCACAGCACCAGGGCTGTTATCAACACCTGCCCAGGCACAGCAGAGTACCTTGATCAGCAATTGCAAAAAGGAGCCACTAACAAGGCTCTAATGCACAGCCAGGCAAGTGAGCCCCATGGCAAGCACAGGAGCCTGCCAATTAGTATCTAAATGGTAGTAACAGCTTTTAAATCAATTAGCACATTTCAATCAAATCTCTCATTGTCTCTAACCCTTCGAGCTGCACATTGAGCATGACAAAAATTCTGTTGTGGTTTAATCCCAGGCAGCCACTCAGTCACTCCCCCACCAGCAGGATCAGGGAGAGAACCAGAAGAGAAAAAAAATGAGAAAACTCATGGGTGGAGATAAAGACAGTTTAAAAGGTAAAGCAAAAGCCACACACACAAATCAGAGCAAGGAATTCATTCAACACTTCCATAGGCAGACATTCAGCCATCTTCAGGAGAGCAGGGTCCCATCACACATAGCAGTTACTTGGGAGGACAAACACCATCACCCCAAACATGCCCCCTTTTTATTTAGTGAGCATAATATTATGTTGTGTGGAGTTATCTCTTTGTTCAGATGGGGTCAGATGTCCCAGCTGTGTCTCCTCCCAGCTTCTCAAGCACCCCCAGACCTCTCAGCAGTGTGGCAGTACAAGAAACAGAGAAGGCCTTGGTGCTGTGCAAGTGCTGCTCAGCAATATCCAAATCATCTCCAGATTACCAATACTGTGTTCAGCACTAATCTAAAATTTAGTCCCATACTAGTTACTGTGAAGAAAATTGACTCTCCCTGGGCAATAAAAAACAGCACAATTCACCAGCTACATCTCCGTAAGAGGTGAAAATTCAAGCATTAACTATCACATCTTTGGGCTTCCTGCTTCTCTTTGATCTGTTTGCCAGCAGCCTGCAAACTTCTCACCCTCTCCTGCTTACTCCCTACTCCTATTTTTATATTTACCTCACATCCCACCACCAATTTCCCCCTCATTTCCATTTATTTTTATACAAGCCTATAACTACTGAAGGCTTTTAATATTTCATCTTCAATGCAATATCCTTCCTCTGACAGACAGACCTCTCAGGAACCAGATGCCCTTGACTGGAAATGTCCCATTAAAGCCCACACTGAAGCACCATATCTTGCTTTTCCAAGCTGATCCCTCTGAGTGCAGGGTCAGACCCCAACTGGGTAGTGAATATGCTCCTCAGCATGAAGCAAAGTCCTTTTTCTTTTTTTCTCCTCTGCAATGTTTGAGTGCTCTCTCAGAGAGAGTTTGTTTTATTTACTCTTTCATCTATTTTCAAGCATTGATTTGGGAATGGCTGCAAGTGGGATAGGACTGGGGTTTCTGCCAGATTTTTGGAGGGAATTGCTCTACTCAACACAAACACAGTCATTCACAGAAAATAACAAAATCCTAGGATATTACTCTGGTCTTCAAAAGCGTTGAGAGAATGCAACAGCCCCCTCTTTCAGGGCATTATGAAGTCCAACAGCAAGAATGGAAGCTAGAAAAGAACTTCCCATCACATTTTAGTTCTCACACATTGCTTTTCCGAACTGATTTTCACTCCTTAGGCCTTTCTGTAAGCATGATCTTATAGAAAAAACAAAAATGACAAATAAAAGCTAATTTCCACATTGTTTAAAATAAAAGTTGAAGAGCAAACATAGATAACACACAGTCAAGAGCTTCTGAATGCAGTGACAATGTGTCCCATTTTTTTTACATGTGGGATAAGTATATAAGGACTTTTCTTGTAAGAATAGAGACAGGTAAATTCCTGTCAGCCCCACCCCAAAAACATACTACAACTCCAAATATAGTCTCCTTTCACACCTCAAACACAATACTAAAGACAAAGAGAAGTACAACAATAAAAACCCATCTCAGAAAACAGACAGGCAAACAAATGCAGCCATTCCTTTAGAAAAAAAAAATTAAGGACAAACTCTCCAAGTCCACACACATAGAAATCTTGGCTGGAACAACCATCATAGCAAAAACTGCTCAAAAAAATGGAGAAATATACCCACATCTGCACTACTGTCACATTAGATATGGATGACACTACTGGTTTAGAGCACAAGTACCAACAAACCCTAATCCTTACTCCAACAACATCATCCAAACAAAACACATGAAACTTTCCCTCCCCCAAAAACAAAAAACACAGCAAAAACCAACCCCAAACCAGTTCAAAACCAGAACATCAAAAACCCCCACAAAAACACCCCAAAAATCCCACCAAACCCCCAAAAACCAAGCAAAAAGCCAAAAAAAAACCCCTAAAAAATTAAAAAATAAAAAAACCCCAAAAAAATAACCACCACACAACTGCTCCCAACTATCCACTCCTCTCCTGCCTTATAAATAATTTGTTTCCTGATTGTTCATCCCTTTCAGCTGGTGCCTGATGGATGAACATGTTAACCCTTTCCTTGCCACACCCAATTAAGCTCCCAACTGTTGGTTCCTGCTCTTCAGCTCCATCCAAGGAGGTGAATACTGGCTGTATAACAACCTGGCTATAACCACCATGCCAAATTCTGCTGTGCTATTGGTTTGTTAGATATAGGAAGGTGTTGACAAGAGCAAAAATGTTGCTTGATTGTTGAGAAAATGCCTCTGTGAGAGGTTTTAATGGCTTCTTCCACTCACATGAAGATAATAAATACAGAAGTGATAGTAAGTAACATTTTCATTGAAGGTATTAAATAAGATTTTATTGTAGCATTAAAGGTGTATCAAGAACCAGTGGTTTAGCACTAAAGTCAAGCCAATTTAAATGAAAGGTAAGTTTATGATTTTAACTGTGAGCCTGATTAACTGGGAAACAAATTACCAGATGGAAAATGTTCTCTTTGATGTTCTCAGGTCAAGAGCTGTAACCCCAGCAGAACAAATTATTTTAGTCAAATAAAACCAAACCCACCTTTAAAATATTTTTCAGCACTGATCTGACTTTTCAGTTCATTTTAGTTAAAATAATGGAAAATATCTTTCCACTTTCTGGTGTTACTCTCCCAAAACATATAAATATATAAAGTCTCAGGGACCATCTCAATCACCTTGATGGGATAAGCAGACACATATTGGAGTATTGGATCTTGCTCTTGTGGGGGAACTTGTGCTTTACAACCAATAGGGAACAAATGACAAATTTTCCATATGCATCTTCCAGATTTCCTGTGTGCAAGAGGCCTGGTCCACAGCCATGGGATCGTGGCAAGCTTCCACAGGGAAAACTCACCACAGGAAAACTGCAAACTGCACCCTTTTATAGACCTTGGAGGGAGGTTAGTTGATGTTCAAAATAAACCTTGCTCAATGCTCTGGTTTAACCCTCACATTTATTCCCCTCTCAGGAACAGACACATTTCTCAACTTTCATTTTGCAGGATTGAAGAAACCAGGATTCCAATTTTATTTCTAAAGGCTTTCTAATTTCCTGTCCATTGTAGAAACCCTTTAAATCTTGTTTGTTTCATATGAATCTTCCTTGAGCACCTCAGAGCTCGTGTGCAGAGGTGCAGCCTCTCCAGTGCCTCCTTACCCACCCTGGGCTGTGTCTCAGCTGACAGATCTTCACTTCCACTTCTCTTTTTCAGGATTGCACCACGTTACACATCCCAACCCTTCTGTTTCAGTAGCTGGTCCAGGTCTCCACAGGAATCTGCTGTTTCCATCTTCTGAAAGTACATCTCCATTTGGCCCCCAGCAGAGCACTTCATGCTCTGCCCCTTTACATTCTCTGTGGACACCAGAGCATAAGATTTGCCACATTCTTATTTCTTAGTAAATATATTTCAAATTTTTTAAATTCAATTTTACACTTTCCTTCAAATCTTTGATTATTTCCCTCCAAAATGTGTCCCACAGCCCTGGAATATACTTAATTCAGATCAGCAAGTCTCTGCTTGAGCTGCTTGTTACCTCCTTTTCTAATGCAAGTATTACATTTAGGTTGGATTTTGTGGATTTTTTCTCTCCTGCAACCTTTCCTGATTTTACAGATTCTCACAAAATCCTTGGAGAGAGATCAGCAGGTTCATGTGCCAGTTCTCAACAGGATTTTTGCAAAGGGGTTATTCTGGACCCCAGCTCCATTGTTTTAATTCCCTTTTGTGTCCATCCATGGATTTACTCACATTTCCATTCAAACACTCCTTGTTTGCCAAGGAAAATAGGGCCCCACATTGACCAAAATTTAAGATTTTTTACCTGATTATTATAATATATGTAGATAGATAATATTTAAAGCTGTCCAAACCCTCATCTCTGCCCCATTTTAAATCAAACTCACATCTTCTTTACTTTTTCTTCTTCTTTCTTATATAGCCAATGATTTGCTTATTACTGGTTCAGCTTCCTATTCATGGTCTAACTCTCTTTTACACTGGAAATTCTCACTCATTTTGTTTTCTGAACTTTAAACTGCAGTTTTCTTTTAGAACCACCCTCCTCCCCCTCCCTCTAAGCTCTCTGCTTCCTGTTAATACTTCCTGCTAATACTGTAATACTTTTACAGTATTAACAATTATTTATCTGTTCAGGTTTCACTATACTTGAGACACGTGCCCCACTATTTTTTAATTTTTTTTGACTTTGAAAATGTCATTTTGATCAAAAACCACTAGGAGGAAGCATTCAACAAGTTTCCCTGTCCAGATGTAGATCCCAGTCCTAATTTTATTAAATTCAAATAGTTTTGAGCAGGAACTAAGGGGCCTGCTGGATCACAGATCCCCTCAAAAGTGCTGTGACACATAACCCCCTGAAAACCTGTGCAATCATTTACCTGCCTGTCAAACTGGCTTTTCTGCTCCTGCTAAAAACAGTTTAGTGAATCCATCCTCCAAAGAACAGAAGCCACCTCTAATTTAAAAATTAATTTTCCCCTGACTATTCTGTTTTTCTTTTAAACATTTTTCTCCCTTCCTCATGTTTTCCCACCTGCTTTATTTACTGAGAGTTACAATGCATCATCTCAGCTGTTATTTCCAGGCTGAAAACACTAAACTTGGATGTCTTCTCATATCACACATTTTTATTCATCCTAGTACTGTTTCCCAGCACATGATCAAGTTTTAATTCACAGCTATTGGATTGCAAAGATCTCTGGTGAATGAGAGGAAAAAAATGTTGCCTTTCTTTCAAGCACAAGTAGAATTTTATGCTGCTCCATCAATTTGCCCAAGAGTTGAGAAACACTGAACTAAATTATTCACGTGGTTCAATTAATGAGAGTCTCAATGGTAAAGTCAGTTTAGCTTATGGAACATGTCCTGAAGAAAATAGCTTTTTTTTTCATTAGTTTCTTTTTTTTTTCCATCCCTGTTAATATTTTTGATTGGTTTGCAATTATTCAAGGATTTTCCATTACTTTGATTTCCTATGAAAAACGTGTGTGCTTTAGGTGGTAAAATGAAGCTCACTATGGAGAGGTACAGATGTTCTCATGTCATTCATTCATGTATTCATTGTTCCACATCACTGTCAAAGGAACAAACTGATACATTATGTTGTTGAGCTTGTGTTTCTCATGGGCTGTCAAAGGGAAAAGCTCTCAGGCCTCAATTTTTATTTTTTTTTTTCCTTTTGTCTGTATTAATAATGTCTTTAAAAATGCAATCATTTGGGGTAAAATTTTAAGTGATATATAGTTTATAGAAGATGTAAGTGTTGAAAAGACCACGCTATTAATGCAGCCAGGATTAAATAATGACTAAAATCACACTAAATATTGCTCTGAATGACCAAGAAAAGGAAAGCAATCCATCTGGAAATAAGGCAGTGTGCTACACAGCCACCACAGGAAAGCATGATGTTTGTAAAGACATCAGTAGGATCCAAAATTGAGAGGCTCAGAGGAGAAGCAGAAGGATTTGGAAGATTATTTATTTATAAGAGCACATTTTCTACTGCTGTGCTTGTATTCATAATTTTATCTCCCAAATGGTTGGGACCTCCTTGTGGCTTGGAAGATTTTATTGTGGCCTTCCATTACATAAAGAGGGTTAATAAGAAAGATGGAGGGACACTTTTTATCAGGGTTTTAGACTGAAAGAGGGTAGGCTCATCTTTGGCATTAAATATTTTTGCTGTAGGGACAGGCCCTGACAAAGGCTGTCCAGAGATGCTGTGGCTTTCCCTGGATCCCTGGAAGTGTTCAAGACCAGGTTGGATGGGGCTTGGAGCACCCTGGGGTCGTGGAAGTTGTCCCTGCCCGTAGCAGGGGGTGGAACTGAGTGGTCTTTAAGGTCCCTTCCAGCCCAACCCATACTTTGATTCTGTGATTAAAGAACATGGCAACTGTCTTCCCTCAAAGAGTATCACCTTTACTCAGAGTTTCTGCAGAAGATAAAATCCAAGGGTTTTTTGAGGGTATTTATAATTTCTTACACCAACCAACAATTCCCTTAGGGTACCAAATGGAATTTGGCATCTCCTGCACTGGTGGAGCTCTGGCTCTGTTCCAGGGTGGCCTTTCCAGAGAGAACATCAGTAATTCTTGTGTAAATCTGACCAACAATTAACTTCTCTGACAGTAAAAAAAATTCTTCCTGGCACACAAACTGGCAGAGATGAGTGGCATCACATTTAGGCATGGATGTGTTTAATACAATCTCCTGGGAGGATATGGTACCAGGGCTGTTCTGTGCACCCCCAAATCCATGAGAATGATGCATGTGGCTCATTACTGCTCCTCAATGCATCCTGCACATCTTGGGAAGCTGACACTGAGCAGGCTGGAGCTGGGGAACACCATCCCACCAGTGCCATGTAGTCAGCTCCTCAGCTGTGGTTGTTCATATGCTGTGAAAGAGGTTAAAAATAATTTTAGCCAAATAAATCCATTTAATTTCATTAATTCTTTTATAGTTGTTAGATATATTTTTTTATTTGAAGTAATAGAGCCCCTGGGTTCTAAAGGCACAGAGCTGTTGACTTTTCTGGTATAACACAGATTCATTGTACACCTACCTTAAAATCTGAGGGAGTATTAGTCAAAACTAATTAAAGGTGCTACATTTTAGGAATGGCTGGGAGAAGCTAAAGGAATACCACAGATGAAACTAAAAGGTACTATAAATATTTTTTATTTGCATCAGTATTCAGATAATATTAACTGAAAACAGAGTCTCATTATCAGGTGCAATTTACCATCCATAGTAAAAGAGAATTTCTGTCCAAAAAGCTCACAATCTGAAGAGATGGAAAACACAGGAGAGGATAGCAACACAAGACATGAGAATATAGCTGCTACCAGAGAGAAGGGGCATTCAGGAGAGAAGAAAACTTGCTGCAGGCTGCAAACAAGTGCACAGCAGGACCCACTCAATCACTGGGTTCTCTTCTGGCTGAAATCTGTGTGGAGGGAAAATCTCACTCGAGCCTTGCCAGAACCTGCCAAACCCAACAGTGATCACAGAGCTGCAGCCTTGCAACTAAGAAAAATAAAAAGCATCTTAAAAATGTTAGTGTATGTAAGAAATTAAAATGTCAGGGGTAATTTGTGACTACATCTTGTATGAGACAAAGGGAAAAACACAACAGTTCTTAGACAGCAAGGTGCTGGATGTACCTCCAAAGTAAATATACAAAGGACAAAAGATTAAGGTACCTCCAAAGTAAATATACAAAGGACAAAAGATTAAGTAGTGTTTGGACATGTGTTTATCTGAGAAGCCTGAGCTATAAGGATATGAAGAAAAAGGACTTCATAAGGAAAATGTGGTGAGATGAGAAACCATGAGAGCCCATCTGCACACGTGGTTCCATGAGAAGTAGAATTTGTGATTACATCTTCAGTCTTTCATTAACCCCAGATCCAAGTACTTCAACCCAGATTTCCTGATTGCCTGCATTACTTATAATTTGGTTTCTTCTAACCTATGTAGGAGAGAGAAGGCTGGTTCTCCCATCAGAGAAACACAGGCAGGAGGGAGAAAGGCTCCTATCCCAAGGGACACATCCAGGGCCGTAGATGATGTTCATCACTACAACCACAGACACCTCTGGTGGCTCCCATGTGGAGCTCCCCAGCCTTGGTTTCTGATGTCTAAGGGAGTGCCTGAGGTGATATTACCAATTTCCAGCCAGTGTTATTTGTGTATCTCTTCTCTAACAAATTATCAAGAATGAATTTGAACACAAAACTCAACCATTAGGAGAAGTTTGAGGAAAGTTTGCAATAAACAAAGTTTTACGGGGTGACTGATGGTACAGCGGCCTTCACCTCACTGCCAGAGGAAAACAGGTCAAAAAAAAAGAAACAAACCTTACAGGCAAAACATAAAACAAGGTTTTGCTCTGCTCAGTATGACTTCTGTAATATTTGTATTTATTATTTCATTAAACTTCAGTAACACAACTATGATAATGTACATGCCATGGTTTATTCTGTAAATTGATCACATGGGAAGAAGTCCACTACACTGTGGAATATCTGTGGATCATGCAGGGTCTCTGTTTGTGGCACATCTGTACCCAAACATAAAAAATAAAGTATTCAAAAAATCATCAGAGATTTGCTAAACAGGTTTATAATGATAGAGTCAGTTAGGAACGGAGTAAACTTTATCTCCTTTCCATTCCTCAATTTATACACATATTAACATTCATTTCCTGTACTCCAGAATATCCACTGGTGCTTGGACTTTTCTCTGCTTCCTGTACAAAGGAAGTATCAGCTGAGGTTGCCTTTCACTGGTACCCAGGTACTGGGGGACCTGCTTTGCAGTAAGATGCCATTGATCAAACAGATCCAAAACCTTTCTCTGCATAGGTAAAAACTGAAGAAAACTGAACACAGCAGAGCCAAAGGCCACGATTCTCAGCTGCCATAATTAACTGATCACCATCAGCAGACCTGGTTTCATAGGGAGGCTGCCTCCACTGACATGTATTTACAATATCTCCTGTGAAAATTTAAAAATATTCTTAACAGCTTTGTCACCAATTAACTACTTAATGTCTGGAGATTGTTGATTGCCTGTTATTTCTCCATTTTCAACCACAAGATTGCCACTACTCTCTCTTGTGACGCTGTCATACGATGGAGGGATGGACACTGAGGACGAAGTTTCAGACCTGTTAGGACTCCTACTATAATATGCACGCAGCATAGATGCAATGAGTCCTTTGTTTTCTGGAGCAGCATATTCCAGAGTGTCAGAGCTGCAAGTTGTGTGCTGGTACAGGTGGGAAGCCTGTCTGAGGGAGCGCTGGAGCAGGTGACTCCTGTAGGCACGCTGGATCACCGTGGCCGACGCTTCCTCCTGCCTGTGGCTGAGCGTAGTCGATATCGGCTCATAGGATTGTTTTGATGGATTGGCAGCCATGAATTTCTCCTCCATTTGTAGTTTCAGAGTATCCAGGTCCTCAGAATCTCCCAACACCCTCTTGGTGAAAGCAAACAAGATATCCAAGCAGTGTATCTTGTCCCCACTGACCACAGGCAGGTCCATTGCTGTGAGTTCAACTTTGTTTGGTTTTGGTACACGCAAAGGCTTAGGCAGAGCATCTGCAAAGTCTGAAAGTGCAGAGAAAGTTATAAACTGGGTTGCTTCAGGATCAAACTTCTCCCAGATTTCATAAAAGATATCAAAGTCATCTTCCCCTAAAGGCTCTGTACTCTCCTCAGTGGCAGCATTGAAGTTCTCCAGAATTACGGCTATATACATGTTTACAACAATGAGAAATGATATAATGATGTAACTTACAAAATAAATAATACCTATGGCAGGTTTGCCACATTCACCGATGGTACCATTTATGTTTGGATCACAGAATGGTGGCCCAGTGTTTAAAATAGGACTGAGAAGACCATCCCAGCCAGCTGATGTGGTGATTTGGAAGAGACAGAGCATGCTGTTAGCAAAGGTTTGGAAGTTGAACATGTCATCAATGCCGCAAAGTTAGCCATGCCAAAAATGGCATAAATGAACATGACCAGAAACAGCAAGAGGCCAATGTTGAACAGGGCAGGTAGGGACATCATTAAGGCAAAGAGCAGAGTTCGAATTCCTTTGGCTGCCCGGATGAGTCTCAGGATCCGGCCAATCCGAGCCAAACGAATGACTCTGAAGAGTGTGGGTGGTAAGAAATGTTCAAAGGCTTTGCCAATGCTGGAAAGCAGCAAGGCTGAAAAGGAGAGGTAACAGCTTGTTAGAATATCATATTTTTTCTTAACTAGTAAAGAGGCTCTAATGATAACATATTTACAGCTCAAAATTATCTGATCTGTTTGTAAGCCCTACCAGAACGGCTTTTTGGAGAAGCTGAATTGAAATAATAGTTGCTGAAATCAGTAATTATGGACTACACTCTTCAGCCATCAGAGGACAGTCCCTGTTGCACTGAAGATGACAAGGAATTTTTTGTGCACAACTTCAAATATCTGTATCAGGTGACTTTTGAAGACTGATGGTTTTCTTTGACTCTAGTTATATGAATATTTCAGCAGATTCAAGTTGCCTTCTACATTTGTCTTCAAATACTGACACTACAAAGCTAAACTAAGAAAACAAGATATAATGCAATGTCATGGTTACCATTTAGATAATATAGGCATGATATGTAGAAGCAAACAGTGATGAACATAGAAATTGTGCATGCTACTCTACAATGGCTTTTGGTTCATCCAGGGACAGAGCTACTACATATGGATGTTATTTTTCCTTTGTTTGAATGAAGTAAATGGCATCTAGTAGCACTAAAAGAGGCTTGACTTTTATAAGTGTAGCTGTTTTGGATACACTTTTTCTGTATTTACAATTCAGAAATTTAATTTCTCAAGAAAGAGCCATAGTCTTACTGGAATCTTACTGACCCAAAACATGAGTCATAGTAAAATGAAATATCCTTCTTCCACTAAATGCCTGTTGCTAGGGCAGTACTAGCCCTGGGAATAGTTAAATTGGCAGGAAGCTCCAATTTGCAACAGAGCTCTTTACCCCATTCCTCCACTGCAATCCCTTAAAAACAAACAAACAAACATTTTTGGTGATTTTTTCTATGGTGTTACAAAGTGGTGTCCCTTATTTTCAGTCATCAATGCCTGAGTTTCCAGAAACTGGATTCTACAGGCTATAATCTAATTCCAGTCTTCCTATTCTGTACATATTCCTATTTTTCTGTATATTTCAGTCATCTGTCAAAAACTCCTATGACAAAACCCAATAATTGATTGGATTGAATATTTTAGTTGATGCTAAATCTGTGACAATGGAAATTATCATGTAATGTGATACTGCTATGATGGGTTATTCATTCTGTATTTTAGATGAGACCAAAAAAACCCTAAAGAACCATTGAAAATATAGACACACTTTTCCTAAAGGAATTGTTTTAAAACTCATTTAATATTATTTAGTATCATTTTGAGGCTGGTTGCTTATTTTTTCCTTAAGACTTTACATTGTAAGTAATACATGTAAGTATTACAACTTACATTTCAATGACTATTTGCAGTTTAAAAAAAAAACAAACTACTTTTTTCCACTCCAAAAAGAATAATAATTAATATAGTAAATAATTTTCAAGAGAATTTTACTTACCAACAAGTGACATAATAACAACAACTAAATCAAATATGTTCCAGGCATTTGAGAAATAGTACTGCCTCAGAGCCAGCAATTTCAGCACACATTCTGCAGTAAAGATGGTAACGAAGAGTATATTGATTTTGCTGAGGATGTTTGTCTTTGTTTCACTTTGCTCATAAGTTTCCACCATCATCGTGACCATGTTGAGGCAGATGAGACCCATGATGACAACATCAAACATTTGGGATGTTAAAATGTCGAAAAGAAAACCTTGGTATCTGTTCTAGAGGGGGGGAAAAAAAATACTTTTGACACCAGTTATGAAAATAAGGAGTGCCCATTCTTACATGTTTCCAACATTTCCAATTTTTATGTCTCAAAGTCACTCAGCAACAATGAAATCAGAGATCTAGAGAAAGGCAGAGTACAAAAATGGTATTAAAAATCCCTTCCCATCCTGAAGTTTTATCAGTTTCAAGATGAATATAAAAGCCAGTAATATTTATGAAGAGAACTTAATAAATTTTTAACCTGTAAAATAATTCAGTCAACTTTTTGGTGTGGAACTGACTTTAGAGCACCGTGTATCAATGTAAAGATAACAGGAATAATATATATGTAATATATAAATACATGCACTTTTCAGTGAATTAAATTGCATTTTTGCAGTGCATTTTATCAGTGAAGAATTCAGTTTACCAAGGGTCTTGGAATGGGTTTTTGAGGTTTCTTGGATCCCAGCTTTTTCATTGCATTGTAGTATTTTTTCTGTTCTTCTGTCATAAAGATATCTTCCCCACCTAAGTATACAAAGAAATGTCACTGTTATTTGGTGAGAAGAAAAAGCATTATACTTAAAATGTCTAAAATTTCTGGAAATGGGCGTTCCTTCCTTTTTTACACCTTGCTGTTACTGGCTCTTTTCATATCACATGTCCGAAAAGTCAGTGGCACAAACCAGCCATTCACAAGAGTAGAAGTCTTGGTGTGAAACTCAGCTCACTCAAAAGGCATGCAGACAAAAAACATGGACAGGATCAAATCTTTCCCTTCCTTCCCAAGTGCTGGGCTTGCTGAATATCCAAGTCACTCCTCACAGCATCTCTAGCAGACCACTTTTTAAATAAACTGTTGAGTGCCCCAAAAGGAGTGAAATTTTAATCGGCTGTGAAATTTTTGGGGAAGATCTAGGTGTTCAGGTTACAGGGGAAAAGAAAGCAGAAAATTATTTATTGCAATTTAATTATTAATATTCTGGTAAATGTCAATAGAAGTTTTAGATTCCATGTGCAGGACCTTGTTCTCTAAAGCACAACCAATACACTTATCTTTTTCTTTTGCTGGTTGAAGTTGTCAATGATTACGCCAACAAAGAGATTCAGGGTGAAAAAAGATCCAAAGATGATGAAGTTCACAAAGTAGAGATACATATACAGACTGTTCTCCATCTTTGGCTGATCATCTTTCTGCAAGAATCAGGAGCAACTTGAGAAATAACACACAGCAACGTGGGCTCAACTGAGAATAATCTTCATATTGAAACTCCTCTCAAAAATTGATTCCAGGAGGAGCTAAGATTTACACTCTAACTGCTAATTGTGATAAAAGTGATATAGTTTAAAACTAGCAAGAGTGCATAACACAAAATTTTGTTTGAATACTCTTGACATGATTTTCACAGGCACTGCAGAAACACCAGTTCAGTCCCTTCCAATACGTGGAAAATCAACTATGCAGAAGTCAAATTCCAAGCCCTTGTCATTAAAATTCTTGGCCTAGATATGTTGTTCTTTTAAAACTTCTGTGATGGCTATTATGAATAAAAACAAAATTGGAAGAAAAATAACTTTTTTAATTGAAGAAAAAATAAGAAAAAAATTAAAACATACACATAAAACCACATAAATATATGAAAATACTACTATTCGTATTTCCATATTTTATATATTATTTATATTTTCATATATAATATTAGCAATATTATGATATTAAAATACCTTTAAAATTCTTTTGTTCCTTTGAATTCCTGATGAAATTAAGACATCCTCTACATCTCAATTTATTTCCTTACTAATTCATACCACTTTGTTCTTTTTAAGCAGGTGGATCAAGAGCTGAAACCCTTTCCCCATTGCAACAGAGGAGCTTTAGGATACTATGAGTCATTTGCAGATTAAATGTTTACATCATCTGACAGAAAATAATTACTGGTAGTGTTTAGCACAGACAAACAGCAGATGTAGAAGTGCAAAACAAATACTGCATTTGCAGAAAGCAGTAGCATTCACAAAAAATATGGTTTGAATACAGTGACTGACCTCTCGTGAATCTACTGCTGCATACATGATGTCCATCCAACCCTTAAATGTTGCCTGGAATGAGAGATTATGGAAAAATGTGTTGAACCTTGACCTTAAAAATCTTCCCATAATTTGCAATATCTGAATAATGCTGACTGGAGAAGAGCCTTTGCTGTGTTCACATGCACAAAACACCGAGCCCTGGCTGCTGCTGCTGTGTGTGGCATTCTCAGCCTCATTAGGATATGAAAGCTCTCAAGGGGGAGACAGAACACTTTAACCTAGGATTCTGACAGAGCAGACCTTCATCAGCATGGGAATAAAGGCCATGCAACTCTCATGGCTGAACAAATGCACATTTTGTCAGAAAAGGTCTCTATTTCCCCAGAATTCCTTCTGAGATGGACTCTGGGTCTCGGGATCCTGAAACTGGTGGGAGCTGCAACAGCACTTGCCCACCAAATGTTCCTTTATCACCTGGAAAATCACAGCAGGGTCTCCTCTGTCCCGCTCTTCCCATTTCTGTGCATGAACAGCCAGCAACAAGGATATTTCCTTGCAAGCTGCAGGATATTTCACTGCCTGCATCACCCTCAGAGACGAGTTAGGAACTGGTGAAAGGTCCAGCCCATCTGACAGGGTGCTGGCTACTGAGGACAAGCAGCACTTACCACCTGAAGAAGAGCCAGGTAGCCAGAGCCAACATTATCAAAATTGACTTTAACGTTGACCCAGAATATTTTTCCAGTGTTGTTATACATCCCACAGTCTGTTTTGTTATCGATCTCACTGCTTATTTTGGAATTCTCATCTGTCATATTGACACACTTCCCAAACTTCCCAGCGAAGAGGTTCACTCCCATGATGCTGAAGATGAGCCAGAAGATGAGGCAGACGAGGAGAACATTCATGATGGAAGGGATGGCTCCCAGGAGGGCATTGACCACAACCTTGGATGAAAAGGGAGAGAAAAATAGGCTTCAGAAAAAGGATGAGCTCAGGTATCTGTAAGCAGTCACTTAATCATCTCTACAAACAAAAACCTGACGTTTTCCTTGTAAATACTAGTCACAGCTGAACATATCTTTAGTATCTGCTAGGCATTCAGAGAAATAGTTGATACTTCTTGGTCTTCTGTGAGACCCTACTACTACTACTACTAAGTAAGCCCACTCACTTTTTTTTTTTTACTTTCCCTTGTTTTTTGGAATAGGACATAACCCATTTGTTTTTGTTTTAGACTTTTTTAACACAAGATTTCTGAAGTATTCATCCACGAGCACTAGTGCAGAGGACTATTTTTAAGACTCTCAAAAGCAGCTCTTACAAAGACACCAGAAATAATTCTCCACTAGTAATTTTCTTCATTTATTTTTAGGGGATTATGGTTGTGTTTGGGTACAGCCATAAGCCAGGTATGTTTTCTGTGCTAGGTGCTGCACAACCAGACAAAGGTGTCCATGCAGATTTTAAATGTATGCTAAGACATAACATATTGCTTCAAAAAACTGGGTAAGGGAATGGTGGGAACATTTCTTTGGTTTTCACAGTGAAGGCAGTGAACTCATCTGTCAGGCAGTAAAGATAAACTTGATGGACCACCAGAAAAATTCAAAGGCTTTGTGGAAGTTTTTTGGAGACTGCCACACACATTCTTCACAGCAAGACAGAAAGTATGACATCCCCTGTTTCAATGTCAAAATTTACTCCAGACATGGAAATTTTGATACATTCTGCTAATTAATTTAATGATATTTCTCAATCTTACTTCCAGAGTAAAAAATAATAAATAAATGTGCTCTTTTGATGGGAAAATAAAGTCTAGTGTTCTAGAGACAAACACTTTTGTTTTCTAAAAGAACTCTATTTGAAACAATAATTTTAGTAAAATACTTTTTAATAGGCTACAGATTTTTGTAAATCCATCCATTACAAACTTTTAAAATTGATGTGACTCCTCTGAGTTAGCTTGCTATCAGATTTCAAAAATTATAATTGTGCTCACAGTTCTTATTCTTGACGTAATTCTTGCCTCAGTAAGACAGGAACATGAGAATGAGCAGCAAGGGAACAAAGTTCCACCTAGGCCAGTTTTAGTTTGAACAGCACTTGGATCAATCACTCCAGGAAAGTCCGTAAGGAATGTCCACATACAGAAGATTGCAACCATTGGTCTCTTTAAAAATTCATTTTATAGTTCCTAAACTGATCTCTGGGTGAACGTGTGAGCTTCATAAAGACATTAAGTGATGAGTTACAAACTTGCTATGTGCTCATCAGTTCTGACAAGCTTTAGATTGCATTCAGTCTTACCCTCATCCCCTCAAACCGTGACAGCGCTCTCAAGGGTCTCAGAGCTCGCAGAGTCCTGAGAGATTTCATGGGGCCAAAGGTACTGCCAAAGAGGTTTACCAAGGAGATCTGAGTGGGAAGGAAAAGGAAAAGTATTAGCAGTGTCCTGTCATCTGCTTCCTTTTTTTTCCATTAAAAAAACCCAAAACCCAACCAACAAACCAAACCATGCTTTCAGTGCCTGGAGTACAATAAAGGGCACTGACATTTACATCCAGAAAATTATCAGGGATTCTGCTGCTAATGCTGTGTAGGGACAACAAAGGCTGAACTCACGCCTACAATGAGGAAGTCCAGCCAGCACCAGGCATTGGTGAAATACTTCTTGAAGCCATAAGCCACCCACTTTAGGAGCATCTCCAGGACAAAAATGAAAGTGAACATTTTGTCAAGAAATAACAATATCGCTTTAATTCTTTCTCTCTTATGTATATGGATGTCGTCAAATGCCTGAAACCATAATAGATATAGATAGATGGTAAAAATCAGAGATTAACCTAGTACAATTAAAGTCAAGCAACACTGAAACCCCTTCATCATCCAATTTGTTTTAATACAGATCTGAACACCATTTGTTACTCAAATCTATGCCAGCTGATAAAATTCTCCCTGTGTCTTCTTTTTCTCTATATAATACAGCCCTGTGGATGCATCCTTCCTGCACAATGAAATCTCAGGAGGAAAATACATATTTTTAGAAATTTATATCGTAAAGTTTATCTATTGAAGAGAACTAAATATTTTTTTTCCAAGTATTAAGAGTCATTTGTTTGCTTTAATGGTATAAAATCCCCTTAATGTTTCACAATTGTGACATGACTTCCTGAGAAAAATCCAGTATACAACCAGAAGAGAAACCTTCTGAGATTCATATATTCTTAGCTTAGCTCATGCTCTCTAATAATTTTTAATAATATCAATAACAGATTTTCAATAATTAAAATGGTGAATAAACGACTGCTATTTGAAGACTCTTCCCTCATTATGAGCTCAAAGATATTCACTTTGTTATTAAAAACAACTTCTCTGGGTGCAAAGCAAAGCCAAAAATCCTTCATGAATACATGAAACTGTGCTACACCAACCAGGGCTCCACTGCTCAGAAGAATCATGAACACGATAAAGGATTCAAACCAGGAATGTTCAACAATCTGGTAGCAGGTTTTTCTCAGGTTCCACCAGGTTTCTCCTCCAAACTTTTCAGCACTGCCCAGGCAACAATGAATGTACCGAGCACAACCTGAGAGACAGCAAGGAGAGCATGGAAGGAAAGCACAGGAATGTGAAGGCATGGTCTAGAAACTTCTGGGCATGGGGCAAAGTCAATAGTCACAGTTACTGCACCATTGTTGTTGGCTTTCCCTGCTTTACCAAAAGAAAAAACATGGGATACATCTAGTTTAATTTGCCTTGTAGCTCCTATTCATAAACACAGTAGGCAGAGCCCCTTTGGACAACTTTCCATTAGTTCAAGATATTTCTGAGGCACTGGACAGGCTCTCACTGACCTGCTGCTGGAGCACAGAAAACTTCAGGGCCATGGGAAGAGTCTTGGTGTTACAAAAGCCTTTCTCAGTTTCTGCACACTCTTTGGAAAGCAGAGATGAGATCCTGTAACCCCAGTTTAGAAAGCCACCAAATTTGTCAGGATTGATATTATGAAGCCAGTGTTGTTGCATATTAGGGTAGGAAGAAATCATAAAAGTATTGAACACATCCTAGAACAATTTTCAAAGCTAGATATTGACTTTAAAAGTCCTCAGATTACTGGATGATATTTAAGGCCCTTTCCAACCCAAGTCATTCTATAATTCTCTAATCATCACCCTATAGAAATTCAATTAATCTTAGCAGCTTCTATTGCTCCTTTCACTCCTTTGAGATTGTTCATGAAATGTTATTCAAGGAATATTTTACTGCTGCAAAATATTAATAAATCTGATGTGCAAAGTGACCATTGCCACTTGAGACATGATCCTGCACACTTCTCTAATGTTAAAGCCCCAGAGTGACTCGGTTGCTGTCAAACCGAGTGAAGTTCATCTCACCTCAAATCCTATTTTATTTAATGGGGTCTGTGCCAATCTCTTGGCCCACTTGGAAGCACCTGGCTTTTAGGGGTTTTATTTTTCATGTATCCCAGTCTCTGTGTTGACTAGATAGGGACAACTATTTAGTTTTTTTTTCAGATAACTAAAATTAACTGAAAATAATCTGACCCTACTGACTCGGCATCACCAGAGAAACAAGCTGAGTTTTCAGTCTTCTCCCTTCCCAGCAGTGAAACCATGAGAGTCTTACCTTCTGGAAAACACTGTTCTGGAGTCTTGAAGTCTTCAGAAAATTCTGGAATCTGTTTTAAAACATCTTCTGGGTTTGCCAGATCCACTGTGCTGGCTTCAGAAGAGCTGACACTGTCCAGCTACCAAGCAGATAATATCAGTTATTGATTCTTTTTAATTCGGGTCCAAGTGAATAAATAATCCATGAACAAATAAAACTCAAAATGTATGATGTTTATGTACTAATATTACTAATATTATTGGGTAATGGAGTTTTTTATTTTAAAAGATCTAAGCTTAGAAATGGATCCAATATGTGCATTGAAATAGAGGCCAAAGCTCTGTAATTCCAGTATCTATCTACATGAACCAGATGTAACTGCCTAATCAGCTGGGAAATTGAAAAGCTTTTAAATTGCATATTAATGAATATGGTTCTCAAAAAATAGGAGAAATTACTTGGGCTAAAACCATGAAATCATGGAAAGATGCATTCACACAGGAGACCCAAATAAATATATCTGTTATCATGCCAGGAACTGAGCACCCATGACAGTATTTAGGAAGTAGAAATTTGAATCCTACCCTGTATTCTTCAGTTACAAAGCTTTTTTTCCATCCCATTAAAGCAAAGACAATTTGTTATGAGTCAGCAGTTTGTTAGCAATTACTCTATGCTTTTGTTCTTTCATGTTTCCATAATGCTGTTTTTTATTTCTTAGAATGTGTTCTACATTCCAAATTATTTTAAAAGTACTGTAAACTGGTAACAATGATCTTTAATGACATAGAGAGAAACTCATTTCGAGCATTATGTTTCTTGAATCCAAGATACTTAGGATACAGGCAGACTTGATGGAATTTCCCACATGGAAGGTTATTTATCTCTCTTTAATTCATTTTTTTAATCCTCCTATTTTGTGGAGTCAGAATTTAATAAATGGAAGGCATCAGAGAGTCTTTTATAATTTATTCAAAATTACTACCAAAATTACATTGTAGTTTTCCCATTTCTACATGCTCTCTTTCCTATACTTATATTTTTCTTTAAAATAAGTACCTAGAAACCCTTTGATTTTGCTCACAGAATTCCAGCTCCAGTATTGGCTCTTGTCCTGCCAGACCAGGTACTGCAAATTCAAAGCTTCTTCTGGCACTAAACTTCTCTCTGGTAAATCCCTGAACAGGAATATGCCTGTGTTTGATCAGTATTGGAAAATCAACATGACTGAAAAAAAAATTAAATTTTTACCTCTTTATCTTCTGGTGATGAGAGTTCACCCTTCTTGTCCTTTTCTAGATAAAGCACACTGAATTCTTCAGAGGCAAATCCTGATCCTTTACTCCAGCTGCTTGAATTTTTTGCTCTGTCTCCCCTTTGCCTCAGTTGATTTTCATCCTGAAATTAATCTGTGGATTAGAGGGGCTTTCTTTTGCCTTTTTCGGGAATGTACAAGTCAGGGGGGAAAAAACCAATAATCTGTACATTTCATTTAAAGTGGGAATCTCCAGACAAGAGTTATAAGAAAGGATCATTTTGAGTCTCTGATTTTGCCTAAGGATAGAACTTTTCTCCAACAGACATGCAGCAAATGAAGGCATTTTGTTGACCTATTCAAAATTTAAATGAGAATTCTTACACAGGAATTAAGAGGGAAATTTAAGGTGGGAAATTGTGATACCAGAATGAAAACTGTGATTGAAACAGAACTGAAAAATTCATAGAGCACAAAGAAATAGGGTAAATATATGATGTAGTATAAAATATATGTCCTTAGTAGAGCCAGTCCATACTTAATCCCATCCACTTCTAATAATTACTACATACTACACACAGCAAGGAAAAATACAAAGTAAGGATCAGAAATATAAATTCATGTTCTGAATCCATGATAATGTTCTGCATGCAGAACATGTATTTTTGCTCTCTTGTGCAAATAATACCAACACAGTTGACATTATTCATAAATATTTACATTTAAAAATTACATGCTTGCCAAGGCCTACCACAATTACCTGTGTGCACCACATCAGCTAGAATTCCTGGGTAAATTTTCTTTTTAAACTATGAAAACATCTTGATTTTAAAGGTTTGAGATTAAAGATTAAAAATCAAGTGATGATTTACCCTTGCTGAAAATATTTTTACTTTTGGTTCTAGTTCAGAACTTTGTAACTCTCTGGAAATGGATCAACACACCCCACCCTGCTCTGCTAGAGACCATCTTCTCCTGCACATCCCTGCCTCTCTTCATCTCTCTCAACAATTCTACTGTTCCAACACAAATAAAGAACTCCATTACCTGTTTGCTGCATTCTGTGTCAGTAAATGTGCTCAGTTTATCATCATCTTCAAAACCCTCACTCGTATTCTCTGCCTCAGCAATAGGGACACAAACAAATATGTTGGGATTTCTAACAAAATCTTCAAGACCTGGGCACTTATCCCCGTTTTTCTCAATCCATTCATTATTGTAATTCTCTTTACAACTCTTTGCCTCTTCACTCTTGAACCCAAGTGAGTTTTGTGCAGTCAATTTGATTCTCTTCCTGTGCACTGTCTTTATCTGCCTGAGCTTCCTACAACAGGCATCCCACGTGGCGCTCTTGACAAAGTGGAATCCCTTGCGGATCCGAGCGAAGGCAATCCGAAGATTGTTCATCTCTCCATCATCCTCTGTTGTCTGGAGACTGTCAGCACTAAAAGAACTCAGCAGCAGTGCAATGAAAAGGTTGAGAACCTGAAAGCAATTGAAATAATAATAATAATAATTAAAAAAAAAATTAAAGTCCAGAGACCAGCATTCAGAAATCTGAATTCTAACGTTTGAAGGACACAGACGCTACCAAAGTTCAGTCTCTGTCCTGAGCAAACCAAAACAAGGTGATAAGGAAATTACTATGACTGATCACATTGAGGTTGATGAAATCAACTTCTCTGTCAGAAATTTCAACGTTCCCATTCCTCTCTCCTCAAAAAATGTAAGTTAAACTACCAGAGAAAACAGGTCTGTGTGCCAAACACATTATTTGGCAAAAGCAACTTTTCAAAGTTTAAAGTGGTAACATAGACTCACATCCTGTCAGTTTAATAATTGGCTCTTCGTTCTTCAAATTGTAATTAAATTTGGCCTCTGTGGAGTTGTTTCTGTGAGGTCAGATTCAGGCCCAGAAAATTCCTCAAATCTGCCACACTATCACAAAAATCAAAACCAAGAGAAACTCAAATTTCACATTTTAAGGACCTTCAAATAAAGGAATTTTTAAACCTCCACTTGGTTTTTGTTTGTTTGCTTTTAAGGGAACGTGAGAATTTAATTTTTCACTAGTATTTTGGTTTCTAATGGGTTCTGTGTATCTTAACTTTTTTTTTTTTACAATTAAGAGAAGTTTTCCATATGAAGGAAGGACATGAGGAGCAAAGTTACTAAAAAAAGATATTTATGATTTAGTCATCAAGAAAGGACAGCACAGGACCAAGGAAGGCAGGCTGTCCCTTATGTCCCAGCACAGAATCCAAATTTCTGTGGTAGCACTGCAGATTCTGCCATTTGCTGATAAAGAATTCAGTCCTTGCATGAGGTCTTAAAAAAAATAAATAGAATTGATTTAGAGAGGGACTTAAGCACTTGGCCTAATTAATTCAAGCAGGTAAGCCATAAGCCTCACTGATTATTTACATCCAAATCCCAAGGTATGAAGAAACATTGCCTGTGGTGTATTTACTGCAAAGGTATTTCTCGTCACACTGCCACATGAAAAGGTCAAGTGATGCTGTGTTCAAAGCTCACAAAATGGGAAAATACAGACAGTGGCTCAGAGGTGAAAAGAAAAAGAGTATAAAGAGTATAACACATTCATATGCAGACTATAACATGCATAGGTAACTTTTCCACCTGTTTTTAGGGCAGCTACCTTTTGTTGTCAGAACAGCCATTAACTGGAGTCCACCACAGACAGGATGTGGAGAACACATTGAGAAACTTACCACCAAATTTCCTATCACCATCACCAGCAGAAAGACAACCAGACACAGGGATGGTTCAGCAACCACCATGCAGTCCCACATGGTCTCAATCCACTCTCCACACAGAATTCGGAAAATGACGAGGAATGAATGGAAAAAGTCCTTCATGTGCCAGCGTGGCTTGCAGTCTTTGCTTATTTTAGAGCAGTTGAGCACATAATTTCTCCCAAAAAGTTGCACCCCTACTATAGCAAAAATGAAAATGATGATTGCCAGGACGAGGGTCAGATTACTGAGTGCTCCCAGGGAGTTACAAATTATTTTAATTAGAGTGTTTAAAGTTGGCCAGGACTTTGCCAGTTTGAAGACCCTCAGCTGTGTAGCAACATAAAACATAGTGTTAGACATCAGTAGAGATAACTCATCTTTGCACCATGCAAATCTACAATAACCAAATTACTGATAGTCTGAACTATTCCAGCAATGCTACATTTGTGGCACATTAATACTTTAAAAAAGTATTTATAGATATTTTTTCTTTTGACTGGGCAACTCTGCAAACATAAACTAATCAATTAATTTGAGACCCTGATGAATGCTTGGCCCACACAGGCAGGTGTCCATGCAATGCTCTTTATGTAGATTATGGTGCTTAATTTACATGTAAAGCAAGGGACCAAAAGCTCAGGGACTGCTGTTATAGCACTATGAAAAGAGTCTATATTTTGGCAAAGCAATTTAAATCAGTCCCTGGTATATGAAGTGGATGCCTTAACATAATTTCACACTTCTCTTTAAATATGGTTTATTTCTGTTTGTACACTGACACTTTTTTCTCTCATTTCCTGTGCTAGTTTTTAATTATTTGTATCAGTTTTATAACCTGTCCATTCTAGAATATTTTTCCTTTGAATATTTCTCAGTGAATTCAAAAGAAATATATGTCTTAAACTCTGACTCTAACATCAAAAGGAGTTTGAGTTGGTTTGTTAAAGCCAAGGAAATAAAAATAATTGGGGTAAAATAAATAAATAAATAAATTCTTGCCTCCTAACTGCAGAAGTATTCTCTATTAAATTCACAAAATAAAATTTCATACAACTGAGCATGTGTGAAGCATTACCAGTCTGAAGGATCGTAAAACTGACAGGGTTCCTCCTTTTCTCCTTTCTTTCTTGCTTTTGTGTTTGGGGAAACTCAGTTCAATTAAACTCAGTGTGACAATGACACTGTCAAAAATATTCCAGGGCTGCTGAAAATAGTAATAGGGATCTAGAGCGATGATTTTTAAGATCATTTCTGCAGTGAAGATCCCTGTAAAAACCTGTGTGACAAAGAAACAGTAGCATTAGCCTGAAAGCAGCCATGAATTTATCTCTGGGTTGTGTTGCCTCAACATTCATGGACATGTTAATAAAACCCATGTTTATGCAGTCCTAATGCACTTGTAATTAAAATGGGAGGATTCTTTTCTGCCTTCTCAGGAGCATGCCAAAGCATATGAAAAAATCTGTGAATCATCTCTAGCAGAAACAAAGTTTATAAATGCAGGGATTGCTAATTTTTATTTTTTACTGTTACTTTTTATGTTTTGAGTGAAAACACACATCAACCAATTAATTAATCCAAAGAAAAGCCACAGAGCTGAGAATTTGCTTACCAGATTTCCTATTTTAAGCATGAATTTAAAAGTAGGTGACATATTATTGTGCTCCAGTGCCATGAACAAAGTGTTCATCACAATGCAAACTGTGATGGTGAGATCAAAAAAAGGATCCTTTATGAAAGCAGACACTTTTTCCTTGATTCTCAGCCAAAGTGGGCAACAGTCCCAAATTAAATATTTTAAAGCAAAGTTCTTCAGGCGTGGTGGACATTTCTGCTGAGCTTCTACACGTTCTAAATTAAAAAAAAAAAAAAATCCTTATATCATTAGTTATCACTGAGCAAGATGGTGAAATAATAACAACTTCAAGAATTCAAAAGACCAGGGTAGAAAAAGGAAATCTCTCATCTCTCACAGACCTCCCCTGTACTTTTTACCATTCATGTGGCTCTTACATCAGCTGATAAATGTGAAAACAAAAAATTCAGAGAAAATTTGATTCCAAATTCTTTTGTGAGCACTTCCTTCTGAAGCTTTTGGAAAGGGTTTTATTTGTCTCAGACTGGTACTACAATCACCTGACAATGCAGATATTTGTGATGCAGAGGCCTCACCACAGCTGGTCCTGCTCTTGCAGGACAATAGAGTCGCTACAGCGTTTCCCACCGTGTCCTCGCGGTGTCTGGGACAACGGCTGTGTCACACCCAACAACCTTTTGTCTCCCCTGACTCTCAAGGCAGTTTAAAGATTCAATGGGAGACAGGAATTCTGACTCTGGCAAATCCAAATTGCCTGAAATTTGGCCTTTGGCCTTTTCTATGGGAAAGGTCACGCCCACCATTTCCCAGCTGATGCAAGTTCAACTCATCTCTATTTTCCACAAGTAGAACTTGGGACAGAAGCTGTTTTGTCTTTGTAATTTTCATCCTTTTAATCAAATCTAAATCTCATAGCTTTTCTTTCTTTATTATTAATATTAATGAGCCCTTCAAAATACTTTAGACCCAGTTTAAGCCTTGTGAAAATTCATTGACCAACAGAAACTAGCTTTAAATACAAGCACAGTAGGAATTACTCATCTGGTTTTCAGGGACCTGGAACCTTTTCAGAAATAGATGAGCTGGATGTGACTCATATCCTTTTCTTAATTGGACCTGTCCTTGTTTCTTCCCTGTTTAATTTTCATTTCTTCTCCCCCAGGCTCAACACCTACACCTGTACCTACACCACTTATTCCAGAGTGATCACTTTGACTCAATCCTCACTCCAGGTCTACCTCTTGTCTTCCACTAGAGCTACAAGTCCTGTTCCACCCCATTTCACAGCTGAAACTGTACAACAAAACCCACATCTTTGATGGATTACGCTGTGAGGCAAAGCTCAACTGGATGTGTTTCAACCATGATTATCCCAGGAAAAAATATTTTAAAAATTTAAGAAAAGGGAACTTCCTAACACAGGTACCCCCCTGTTCAATCCTATACTTGTAGTCCAAGAACTGGTGGTAGAGCACCCCAAAAGGGCCAAAAGAAAACAAAAGTTCATCATCCTGAATTACTTGGACTGAAATATTTCAGCAAGATCTGCAACTAAACTATCAGTCATCAAAATCACTGTCGCTGACTAACTCCCACCAAAAATTCACATGGGAAGGTAAATTAAAGTAATAAAACTGTGACATTAAGTATTCAATATCCAAGAATTGGCACAAGTAATTTCACTTGCATAATCTTGTTAACTGTTGGATGCTGCATGCCTGTGAATCCTCTAAATTCTGCCACAGACACAACAGAAATCAGAGGATCGCAATGAAAAAAGTGTCCCAGACCTGCAGGTCAGATGATCAGAAATATCTTCCACCCACCCTCACTCCAACCCCCTTCACTCTCTATCCTTCAAAACCAGCTTTTACAATAGGCAAAGGATGTGTTCCACTACATAGAGACTGTGTAACACCTTTTTTTTCTCTAAAGGAAGACCAAACCAACAATGAAATTCCTAACTACACGCCTACAAATCTCTGCTAATCTTTAAGAGATTTTTTCTGATTTCATGGTAGCATTACTTTAGGGTTGAAATAAACTTAATAAGGAACCACTTACCCTCCAAGACACTGGTAATTATGCTGACTACACTTGCTGCCCTTTGTCTGTGAAGAGCTTCATTAAAGTGCTCCACTGACAGATGAGGAGGTAAATGCATCATGCTGCTCTCATCATGCTCAGCTGGCTGCTCAGAGAAGTAAACACAATTAGGGAGATACCACGAGAGTGAAATGAGCCAGGATGTGATGATGGGTAACTGTGAGAGTTAATTGGAGCAATGACACACAGCCAAATAAATGTACGTTTTTACAAGGTGTAATTGATGGTGAGATTAAAGGTCCTACTCTGTTCTGGGGCTGCAGTCAATGGATCCTGCAAGTGCATAACATGGGACAAGCACAGCCTTGGAAATGAGTGTATGAGGGGAAATAGGGCTAGGAATTATTCAAGAGAATAATGGAATAGGAGAGGAGTGAAGGATAAATAGGGGAAACTGGGGAAGTTACAGGCAAAGCTGCTGCATGATGCTGAAGGGGCTAGGAACAGCAACAACAGAAAAAAAAAAGAAAAGGAACAAAAAATCACAGGTATTCAAAATTACAGCCCTGGGTAACATTACGATGAAAAGACTTTTGGGTGGCTTGTAATTTTAGCACTAGGAATATTTCAAACTATGTCAGTACAATTAATGAATAGCAGAAATGCAAGGTTTACAACAGGAAGGCTAAAAGCTAATTTTCAGGAAGTGTCAGACTGTTAAAAACCAGTTTCTACAGACAGCTGAAAAATTGTCGTATCGGTATGCTTGAGTTGGCATCACTGTGCGTCATTAAGGTGAAACTCTTAAAACAACAAAAAAACCCCAACCTTGCCACTGATTGATAAACCACATTATAAAGCAAATATTTAAAATATTCTATTTTCCCTTACCAGACCCCTTTTTCCCAAGTCTTCCATGACTGGTGTAAGCATGGCTCCATCAGAGGACACCGGATCTTGGCTGTGCACCCTGCTGCTCCCTCCTCCTGTGCCCATCCCCACCCCAAGGAGATCATCCACGTTGCCCCCCTTGCTGCTGCGCGCACAGTTCGGGGTGGCAGGGTGGGAGCTGTGGCCCCGTTGGCTTTGCAGGCTGGGGCGTCTTCCCATCTGCGCCCCCGACAGCGACTGGCAGCGGGGTTTGTGTCCCCTGGGACCAGGGGGGTCCTCGTCACCCAAACCCGCTCTGGGATCCACCTCCACGGCGGGGAGTTGGAAGTTGAAGACGCTCCCGTGGCTCAGCCGGCGCTTGGCCTCGCTGGCGTTGGGGCCGTACACCAGGCCCAGGAGAGACTGGAAGCCCAAGAAGAGCAAAACAGAGAAGAACAACATAATATCATAGAATACATCTGGGGAAGCTGTAAATTATTAACATTTGCTGTCTAGCACTGCGAGTCTGAAACTCTTATTTGATTTAGATTTTTCAGCAAGGATTATGTTTTAGATTCTCAACAGCAGATAATAAAACTTTATGAGTTATACCAGCTATTTTTGAGATAAGCTTTATACTTATATTTTAAGAATTAAATTTTTTGCAGAGAATAATGGTATAAAAGCTAAGATCTGATAGTCATTCACTTCTTTTTATTTCTCATTGTTATAGAAAATGTATTTAACTATTTTAACTTTGTTTTCATCCTCCATTTATAATACTTCTTTTTGAAATTAATTTTTACATCTAATTCTTTTTTATCTCACATTTTGTTTATTTTAAAGACTTAAGAGTGATTCGTGTTTGTAATGGGATTTTGTTTATGCTTTCAAGCCATTAAATTTAAAATAAAATTAGAAAAGCTGTAAGGATCTGAGATTCAAATAATAGATTACCAACTTTCGTTGACTGTCTGGGAGCTGTGACTTGGGGGGTTCTTCTTCTTCTTCATTATCTTCTCTCCCCAATGATTTATTTCTCTTTTTCCTATTGCTCCTTTCTTTGATTTCTTTGGATGACAGAGAAGAGGCTTCAAAGGAGCTGAGTGATAGGATATCAATGCCTTTAATACCCAGTGACTGAAATTCAAAGAAAAACATAGGTGATATTTTTCTGGGTCCTTTGAATAAAAGCAGAAAGAAAGCACTTCTGTGCTCTATATTATTATTTCCTGTTAACAATTTGTGTTTCACAAAACTCATTAAAAATCTTCAAATATATGATATTGCTGAAAGAAAGAGGAGATTCTTCCACATATGGAGCGCTGAACAATTTTCTATTTGCAGTGTGTTCTATGATCACATGTACTGGGCCTGCCAGAGGCAAAATAATCACATTATAGCTCCCACTCCTCCATATGGCAAATTTGCTTACAATAAAAATGCTCAGTTTGAAAATAATGCAGTAGAATATATCATTTCCCCAAAATAAATCTTCAAACCATAATGAAATTATTTATTTTCACTGGGGATCCTTGGGACTATATTCACAGTGTGGATGATTTTCCTTCCCATGCTGAATTCAGGGTGATATTTTAAAAATGCAGGAGCTGTTCCAGAAGCTTCTGTGCTATTTAAGTTACCAAGAGATTTTTCATTCAACTACAATAGGTTTTGGCTCAGATGTTGATGCAGCAGAATTACTGTATGTTTCTTTTCTCAGCAGCCCAAATGACAAAATAGAATAAAAAAAGAACTAAAAAACAACTACATTTTCTTTTGGAAGCTGCTGGTTGACAGAATTTTATGTTTTCCAGATTTAAAAATACTGCTTTTCTTTAAGTAACATTGATCTTTAATGTTTTTTATCCAGCATAAATGTCATTGTTTCACAGGAAAAATACACAGTTGAACAAGGAGTTGTTGTGCAGCTCCAGGAATCACTAATTTCACTAAGTCATCACTTGCTCCTGTTTCCATGGGTGGTTTTTATATACAGGAGTACACAGGGGGTGATGCTTTTTCTTATGTCTGGATGAGGCTCTGAGGAACCTGGTCTAGTGGAAGGTGTCTCTGGCCATGTCAGGGGCTTGGAATGAGATGATCTTTATGGTCCCTTCCAACCTAAACCAGGCTACATGACCAGAAATAGAACGAGACAAACACTTCCAAGAGAATAATTCACGTACCTCTTGCTCCTTCTGCAGTAATTCCATGGCTTCCCGAAATTTCCTTTCCTTTGCCTCAGTTTCAGCAATGGTAGCCTTGTTCTGGTCCTCGTATGCCATTGTTACTACAGCCAGAATCAAGTTGACTAGATAAAATGAGCCCAGAAAGATGACCATCATGAAGAAGACTACATACACCTTCCCAGAAGCTCTGAGGGTCTGCAAGCAACACACCCCAGAGATAAAACATTACCACAAAAAATACCAAGTACGCTTTCAATGTGTCTCTGAAATTCTTTAAAAGCACTGAGCCTCCTAGACACAGTGCTTCAGGAAGCTTAAGTGGAATTAGAAATTTCTTTGCTATTCTTCCCTGTCTTCCTCCGTCCTCCTATACCCTCACATGTGAATCACTGATTGTACATCTCATGAAGACAATCAAGGAGGCACTTCTACATTTTTGAAGGACAGTACAGAACCCTTTTAGGATTTTTCTCCAGAAGCAGGGTGAAAGGGCTGGGAAGCACTTCAGCATCCCTTTCCTAGGAGTCACAGGCAGAAGGGAAGACGTGGGCTCGAAGCCTTGCAGCTATTCCTTTTATTTGAGGTTTCTTGTCCTCTCTACACATTTTCTGCTTCAGCTGATGAAGATCAGTTCTGAGCCATGCACAAAGCTGGTACCTGTTGGTACAGACGCTCCCAGTAGTCCTGGGTCATCAGGCGGAATAAGGAAAGAAAAGCCCAGCCAAATGTATCAAAACTGGTGAAACCATAATCAGGGTTTGGCCCAATTTTACAGCATTTATATCCAGGAGGACAGACCCTAGAATTAATAACAAAAAGTGGAGCAGATAAATGTGCAGATTTCAAGGAAAACTTCAGCTTTATGTAAGAGTTCTGATTATCTTTAAGCTCTGCAGTTCATTAGATTGCAAAACAATTTTCTACTCCAGGTAAGTAATTGGCTGGAAGGAGGGATGGAAAGAGCAGCACCCACAGTCCAGAAACAAAGGAAAAAGACAGGCTGGAGCAGACCACCATCCCAGGACCTCATCACCAATCCTCATCCCCTTCCCCTCACTGAAAAGCAGCCACATCTTCCTCCTTCCCCAAACCCGCCCTCCAAAATTCATGTTTTGTTTTTCCACTTTAATGCTCATGAGCCTTCACAGAGAGGAATGTCTGTCCTGTGTCGTATCTCAGATATTTCACATTTTCAGTTCTCTCATACATCCATGGGAAAGAGGAAGGCAATACTTCAGGAAAGTCTAAAAGACTAATTAGATCTGAATTAGTTCAACTGCAAGTTCATATTTCATTCCCTACAAGACTTGAATTATCTGACTGTTTGCTATACATTTTTTCTGTGTTCCTGTTTCTGCATTCAAGGAAAGCTTGGAATTTCTGCTTTTGTCTCACATGACTGAGCAAATAAAGGAGCACTGAGGCAGAGAAAACTTCCAAGAAAGAAATAATCTTAAGTGCACTCACCCAGCACCAGGACCACACAGCAAAATATCCACAGTACCATTTTTTATAGCAAAGTCATCTATTAAAAAAACAGGAAAGAAAAATTAAACACAGAGCACTTTCTAGCCTGAATCCTCTATCATTTAATACGAGTAGTGATAAGTAACCAGTGACCTGTAAGAGCACAGGTTTCCTGTGCTCACATTAACTGCAGCAGATTGCAGGATGCCCTGGCCTCACTTGTAAACATGCATATCTGTTTGCACAAATTTCACACTGAAGGCAGTCCTCCAATTCAGAATTTTTAAAGATATTATCACTTTGGCTACGTCTGCATAAAGGAAATGAAGACTTGGAAGACATAGGCTCAAACACAGTCACAGAATCCCAGAGTGGTTTGGGTTGGAAGGGACTGTAAAACCCATCTCATCTCACCCCCTGTCATGGGCAGGGACACCTCCCATTATCCCAGGTTGCTCCAAGCCCCGTCCAGCCTGGCCTGGGGCACTTCCAGGGATCCAGGGGCAGCCACAGCTTCTCTGAGCACCCTGTGCTAGGGCCTCACCACGCTCTGAATAAAGAATTTCTCCCTAAGATCTAATCTAAATGTTAAACCAATACAATATTTGGTAAGTGTTGGCACAAACTGGCAGAGATTTGGCCCATAGCAATCGCCCCTCTCCAAGAATGTGTGCAAACATTCCAGGAGTAGAACAGACCATTTCTGTTTCCAATGAACAACAAAAAACAAAGTCCAGTTCTGAGAGGGAAGAAAGAATATTTGATTGTGTGAATATCCACCACTGCAGAGCCAAACAGCAGCTCCTAACCCTGCTCAGCTGAGAAATGCAGATTTATCCATTAGGATGCTGGAGCTGTGCCCTTTTTGAACTCTTCCCCTATTTCTCTTAGCATTAGTTACTCTGTTATCAGCAGAATCAAAGTAAAAGCTTTAGCTAATAGCTAATTATCTCCATTAAGATGTGGATTTATTATCCCAGATGTAAGGGAGGTCTCATGTTCCCCTGGTGCTTCTCAAACCTCTCCTGTGCTCATCAGATAAGTCAGCATGACTCAGAGCCACCAGGAACCTTTGATATCAGCTCTGCCATACCCTGGAAATGCCCCATAAAGGAATGAATCCCTATCTGGGCTACTTTCCACTGACATTTTGTTCAGCTCCACTCCTGCAAACTGAAAAAAAAAAGGTTTTCTAAGAAGCTTCAGTGACTGAATTTCAGAGAATCATAATAATATGTGTGGGGGATGGGAACTTCCCACAAAATTAGGAGGAAAGCAGTCTATATATATATAAATATATGTATATAAATACAAATAAAATAAATTTAGAATAAATATAAACATTAATATAAAGTAAATAAATATTAATAAATATATATAAAAATAGCTTTAGAGGAAATTTGGTTTATAAGGCTGTACATCCTCAATCCTGTAAGAAAGTCATCTACCATGCATTAAACTTCTCTGGGCTCTCCTATTCCTTTTGTCATAGAATTTGAACAACACAAAGGCTGTGAAGCAACACAGATTTTATATTTCTTGAGTTCTGTTTTCTCCACACCATTTCCTTTATACAGCTTCAATGCTCTGCATATACTAAAATATAGATCCTTTTACTTCTTGTTCTTCAACACAGAAAATCAGCATTTTTAACCCAACTTTGTCACATCCATGGTCTCTGCTACTCTGTTCTAGTAATTGATTGTTTCCTTTTCAGTTTTGCTTTCAGTTATGATTTTTACAGCATTCTGTGCATGTAAATTACTTGCTTCTTATGTGTGGTCTTTTGGTATTAACAAGAAAAAAAAAAAGGTTTTCCTCAAAAATTTTTTCTACCCTTTTTTTCCCTGGATTTTGAAGTTATTGAAGAAATCCTGTCTGAACAAATCTCCCACACAGAGTTTGGACAAACAACAATTCTGGGTGACTTTTTATGTATTTTGAGAGTTCTTCTGGGAAAATTATTCTCTTCCTGTGCAACTGCTGCTGTGTCTGAACTCACTGGGAGAGATTTTCTTCAGTGATGAAGCTTTCTTCATATTCCTGGCACAGACATTGATTATTTTGTTTTTCCAGTTCTGGTTTTTTATTTTTTTTTCACGTATATTGAGGCTTCTCTTTTAACACAAAGCTTTGCTTTGCTATTCTGAATTGCATGTTATAGTTGTTCCTCTGAGAATGTTTTGATGCATTTTTAGATCTCTGCTCCATGGTTCCATCAGCAGTCTCAGCCAAGGTGTAAACATGAAACATATGTACTGTAGATATCTTATATAAGACATAAAATAGTGATGCCAGAAAGTAAGTAATTTGATTTTTCAACAAATTCTTCTGTTTTAAGTTCTCACTGAGCAGGAAAATGAAGATGCATGGGCTCTTCAGCCTGTAGTACAAGGTGAACTTTGGGGAATTACAACAGAGAACGAGCTAATGCGTGTTTCAGTTATTGTCATGTCATTCGGGGAAACAGATCTGGATGTTACTGGAAAATTTGGGAGTGCTTTTGCTTATAATGAAGGGAAGGAGTGCATTCCTGGATGCCTGCAAGCTGCTCTGGCAATCAGAAGCCATTATCAGGTAGTTACTCATCAAAATATCAATCAAAACAACATAATTCACAGCAGTGGTTATACATGTGTGCATAGGTGTCTATAGGATCATCTAAACAAGAGTGAAGGAGAAAAAGTTACCTGAATCATTAGCAAACTTTTCATAACTTTCCCATGTTTTATTGCAAAACTCTGTAGTGTTCCTGATGCACTTTTGCCTGAGATTGCCCTTAAAAATCTGGAGGCCTATGAGGGCAAAAACACTCAGGCAGAAAACGGTCAGGATCATCACATCAGCAAGTTTCTTCACAGACTGGATAAGTGCCCCTACAATGATCTTGAGCCCTAAAAAGACAATGTAAAAAGGAAAAACAGGTTGAAAAACTGTGATTCAAATGCCATACTTGATTAGAGTTAAAGCAATATATAAAAGCCAAAGTATAAGAATTACAGGATAATATGTGGTAAATATATTTGCAATACAAGTATATTTAGGATGAGAGTGACTAATGTGAGATAAATATTTTTTTCCTACTTTCATTGACCCTACAGTTTTTAGGCGTTCCTTTATACCCTAAAAATATTCACTCAAAAATGATGAACCAGAGATAGTCTAGTTTTCTTTATCCATTAAATTAATAGGCATAATTCAAATGATACTTCCAACACTGGTAATTTGTGAAGATAATATCCAGTCTGAACTCTCTTGGCATGGATTGATGATATAAGATCATTAGGGGTAAAGTTCCTTCAATAGCCAGAATTATGTCTGTGGAACCATAACACTCACATCAGGCAAAAGAACATTCTGTAAAACAGATCATAAACTCTGAACAGTATCTTTAAAAGCATAATGAAAATAAACTATATTCAATATTATTTCTAACACCTGATTCATTCTGGTTGGGACAGATGAATTGAGACACTTTTTGTGTGCACAAATTCAGATCTATCTGCAACTTGTGAAAGTGCAGACAGGTGAAAGATACAGGGAAGAAAAAAAAGGCAAAAGGAAATATTTTGAATGAAGAAAAGAATGAGTTATAAGTAGGAGAAAATACTCAGCACATAAGATTTCTTACCTGGGACTACTGAAATGGTTTTTAAAGCTCTGAGAACCCTAAAAGTCCGGAGGACTGACACACTCCCCAGGTCACTAAATGCTCCCACATACCTGTAGAGATCAGATGTGAAATACCAAGTGGTTGAGCAGAGTTAACAGGGCAGTTTTTTACAGTGGTCATTCTTGGGTATAAATCTTTCTAAGTGTATTTTAAATATTAAAAAACTACATATCTAGGCTTTTTTTCTGAAAGCTCATAAAATAAAAATTGATTTCTTAATTATTAGAGTTTCCCTCTGAGGTGGCTTCTGGCTTGTGTACAGCTGCTTTTGTGTGAGCATCTTTAAACATAATTCATTTAAAATACAAAGATACCACTCAAAATTATGAATTTACAAATGCTGGCTGAGCTGGTTTGATCTCCTTTCACTAGCTGCATTTAACCAGTATATAGAAGCTTGCTAATTACCAGAAAATTACACTTTAACTATGATTTTTGGGGATAGAACCTTAATTTAATCTACTATCCTGGTATCTATACCCATCACCCTAACTGCAAATTAATACTTTAATTCATGGGGTCACAAAGTCTGTTTTTATGCCCAACTTTTACATTTCACCAGTACAAACACATCCATTCACATATATCCACCACTGGAAATATCTTGCCATGCACAGCTCTATTCCTTTCTTGAAAGACTAAAACATCATTGTAAAACAGTGAGTGCTAAACAAGGGGAAAAGTCAATGTTCTAGACAGTTTCAGGTGCAATTAGGAGCCATGGGTTGAGTTTTAAACCACAGATAGCCTTTTGCACCACAGCAATGAGCAGTTCCAGCACAGAGTGGAGGCAGATAATCCATATTTCATTTGTTCCCACTTACGCCATGACGATAACGGTGAAATCCAACCAGTTCCAGGGGTCCCGAAGGAAAGTGAATTCATTTAGACAGAATCCTGTCGCCAATATTTTTATCAATGATTCAAAAGTGTAAATGCCAGTGAATGTAAATCTAAGGAGGGGAGAAAAGAGCCAAAGGGAAAGAATGGTGTTAGCACCCAACTCAAGAGGCACAGACTATTTAATGTCTGGGAAGAAAGCTGAGACAATGCTGGAGAGAACAGATTTCTGCTGGATTTCTGTGCATTCCAACAGTATCTGGTTCACACAGAGCTGGAGACAGTATCTGACTGCAATCTGGACATGGCTATTAATGTGCAACCCATGAGACACTTTTTGGCGTTTGACATTTTGAATTTTTTTCCAAATTCTTTCATGTGAGTGCCCATAATTTCAGAACCACCAAATTCCCAGTTACTAGCTAAAATAAAGGTCCAAATTTCTATCTTCCTCCAGTTTCAAGCAGCCAAGTGAACGTGTGATGTTCTCTGTTATTTCCTTTGGGCACACAGCAACCATTTCTGTGCAGAATATTTAAAACACTTAGAGGAATACAAGAGTGGAGGGTTTTCAATTTAAGATGGCAATTATTCTTATTAATGGAAAATTATCAGTAAAAGCTCTTCTGGACTTAACTGAGTGCACTTATAATTTCAAGAAGGCAGCGACATCCCTACAGAATTCAAAAGGCTTTCATTTGGTAGTCAGCAAATGCACTAAGAAATTATATGGATGTAGTGCTTCCCTTTTTATTTGGAAAGAAGTATTCTGAAATTGTTCTTGAAATGCATTTGAGTGGTAGTTGATGCCAACAGCAGATACAACTCTGTTACAGCCTTTAACTCTCTCATAGGTGGAGAAGAACCACAGCATCTTCTGGAGATGTGTATTTTAATACCATGCAGAGCTTTGTTCCTGCTTTTTTTGAAAGAGTTTGCCATTCATAGTTGTTTCAGTGTCATTTAACATGATATAATAAAAAAAGAATAATTTAGAACTGTTTTTAATACTAAGTATTTGGGAATCTTCTCCTTTGTGTTAGGTGTCAGAATTATCAATATTCATATTCTAGCATTTTTGCCAAAGTGAAAAAGTGACAGCTGAAATAGTCTCTAAAAAAAAAAATCAAAACAAACCAACAACCCATGGCATTATACATTTCAATAATGACTACAAAATATGGATTTATTGTGATTCAACATTGCAGCACTGAGGATAAAAGACTTACATTCTAACAGCACTCTGCAGGCCAAGTGCTTCTGACAGAACATTTTATTAGAGCAAAACTCATCATTTCAATATAATTAACCAGAATTTTGAAAGACAGCAACTCTCATGTGCTCAATCAGCATCAGTAACAACAGGAAATGTATCCTGATACAGAACAAATAATTGAGTAACTTCAGAAAGTTGGAAAACTGGAGCAACAGAACAGACATGAAGCCAGTTCAACAGTGGAATTTAATCTACACTTACTCTCTCCTATAACACCAAAATTATTGTATATATTGTGTTTCAAGACAAAACTATTTCCTCAAATAAAAACTAAATTAAAAAACTCCCTTAAGACAAGCAACTTTCCTTTTAAATCTCCCACAAACTATCTCAAGTGAAAGTGTCAAGTCTCAATAACTCAATAAAACTACATAAATAAAAAATATACATTCCCACAGATACTTACTCAACATATGTGTTCCATGAAGATGGAGATTTAGATGACTCAGACAGAGCCATGAATACACAATTAGTTATAATGGTGCACATGATAAACCAGGTGAACAATGTAAGTCATGGGAGTGAAGGCAAAGAATACAACATGGATTCAGAAATGTAACTAAATATTGCATCAGTCACTGGCATATTTTCTGGCTTTTTGGTTAAAGCACATGTAAGAAGAGCATGCACAGGCATTTACTGATTTTGAGCTATGTTAGATGACAACACACAACTGCTGTTATTCATGGACTTCTGTATTGATTACAGATCTGTTTCTCTAAGCATTTCCAGCCAGGAAAAAGGACCCTCAACCTCTCTAGGATTGTGTGGAAGGATGCAATTGCAGTTTCATATTAAGGCATACAAGTTAAACACTTGCTCAGATCACACAGGTGGAGCCCAAACCTGCCTCTGACCTGGCAAAGCTCTTCTCTTCCAAAGGACAGCACGAAATCTGACAGGGTGATTGCAGCAGTCTCAAACAGCTCTAGGTCATAGAACCATGGGATATGCTGAGTTTGAAGGGAGCCATCAGGATCATCAAGGCTATCTCCTGGCCTTTTTCAGGATACCCCAAGAGTCACACCTTGTGCTTGAGAGCACTGTTTCAGTGCTTCTTGAACTCTGTCAGGCTGGTGCTGTGAGTCTGTTCAGTGGGAGTCTGTTCAGTAGCCAACCACCCCTGGGTGAAGAACCTTTTCCTGATATCCAACCTAAACCTCCCCTGGCTTGGCTTCAGCTGTTTCCTTGAGTCCTGTCACTGGTCACTACAGCAAAGACATCAGGGCTGACCCTCCACTGCCCCTCACAAGGAAGATGGAGACCACAATGAGACTCCCCTGTCTCCTCCAGGCTGAACACACCAGGTGCCCTCAGCTGCTCCTCATCTGGCTTCCCCTCCAGACCACCCACCATCCTCACAGCCCTGCTTTGGATGCTCTCTAATAGATTAATGGGGTTTTTATAATGTGATGCCCACGTTTAGCCAGCCCCAGGGGTTTTCCAGGTGCTGGAAAAAGTTTCTCTGCTGGCCCAGAGAACAGGAGCTTGGGCAGCTACCTCATACTTAAACACCCAAGCTCAAGCACATCACTCTGGAGCTGGATCTCATACCTTGTTGTACCACACGTGGGTAATCCATAGGGTAGAAGAGTATGGGAAGTCCATTCTCTCCATCCCCCAAAAAATATAATTCTTGGCTTTAACTCTAGGCCTGGTCCAGCTGTCGAAGGAGCTGGGCCACTCACGTGGACATGCCAATGTCAGCCAGCTTCTGCCCAAAGAAAGCCCCAGATGAGAGGCATGGCTCTTCCAGGGATGTCTGCACACTGCTGTGGTGACAACCTCGAGTCACTGAAGTTACCTCACACCACAGAGCCAGCAGATGGCTGGAAATCTGAAATCCACACAGGGACATCACAGACTCCACTCTGGGTCTGATTCCCCAAGCTCAGGTGTCCTTCTCCAGTGCCAAACTGGAACAATACACTTGTGATTCCCAGCCCCTAAATTTGATATATGAGGTGGGATATTACCTTTATATTCCCAAGACATTCTCTGCAACAGCATTTCTGGAAATATTTCCTTTCCTATACCACATGTACATTTTTTGAATCTTATTTCCCAAATAAACTGTTTGCATGGGTTTTTTCTACGTGTTTTCCTGTGTGTGCTTGCCTATCTCAGCCTTTTCTCTCAAAACTGGCCAATGGTTGATTAGCTTTGGCATGTGAGTTGATTTTAATTCCCACATTTGGGTAAACAGAAGATGAAAAAGAGGATGGAGAACTTATCAATCTTCTCCCTGGGAGAGGTTTCAGAATGAGATACTTGTTTATGGCATGTGAGGAGATCAATATCAGAGCTCAAAACACAAATCTGTATAAAATGGGGCTAAATAAGCCAAATACTCACAAAATTTATTTCTAAATTTCACAAAAGCACCAAAACACTAATAATATCTAAGGCAATTCAAAACTAGAATCTGTAGTGAGGAAAAGACCAGATTAACTCAATGCTCTAAAATACAAAAACACAGGATTTTTCAGGGTTTTATAATCAAAAAGAGTGAATAAAGCTGATAAAAGGATATGAATGCACTAAAATTTGAATTGCTCTTCTTCGTATTGGATGGAAGGGACTGAAGATCCACAGGGCACGTGTAGCAGTAAATCTGTAGATTGTTTTCTGCTTGTTTAGCACTATGAAAACCTTTTAAAAATAAATAAACAAGAATTTGTCAGAAAGTGAACACAGAACATATTTTTGTACTATATCCTGTCGTGTCAGTCATGAGCAAGAGCTAGAATTTCACTTTAGCCTGGTTAACTGGAAAGGCTGTATAAATTTGTTATCCATCAGAAACTTTAACTGTCAGGCAGCAAAATATTCCTTAGCACAAACTTCCTTTTTCAACCTTGTGATTTGCAAGGAGCTGTGCACAGATCTAATCTTGCTTATGATCATTCTCTTTAAATAGAATGAGCCCTTCATTGAGTCAAGATATACAAGAGGTGCAAGGAAGAACTGCAGCCTTCTCATTATTTACTATTTTTGACAGTGATCCTCTAGCTCTTGGACTGTAGGAATTATTTCAGTGTTTAACCTTCTCTCAGGTGAAGAGCATTTTTCCCAATGGATTTGCTTCCATTTCTCTGTTTGTTATTGAAAATCATATTCTTCAATATGTCACAACTGGAATATGGAGATTGAGTCAGGAGGTTGTAAGGATTCATCAGCATTGTTTTAAAATAATTTTTATTTTAAGTATCATTTATTTTGTGTGTAAGTGGAACAAAAGCATTGAGATGGAGTGAAACACATTGTTCGAAACAATGGAATTTATGAAAATATACAAAATTATGTACAAAATGTATAAAATTACTATAACTTCCAATTATTATAATTTCTCTCAACCCCCTCCCTTTTCTTCCTTTATCCAGTTTATTTTTTCTGCTTCTATTCTGATTCAAATGCTATTTGATTTCATATTATTTCATTTCTAAAAATGAAAGTTAAGCTTTTTTCAAAAAAGATTACAGTGCATCATTCAGCTGTTTAACCTAGAAAGGAACGAGAGTTTATAAAGAGATGTAAGCAAAACTCTGATAGATTGCCCATGGAAACTTTTGGTGATACAATAAATTAAATTAAATTAATTAAAAATAAGATACAAGTATCTTGGTTGGCTCTAACCTTATGATCTTTGTAGTATGGGTCAAGATCCTCCAGTGGTTCCCCAATGAGCTCTGGAGGAGGATTTCCATATAGAGCTGGCAACTTCTGGAAAGCTTTTAGGTCAAGCTGGGGACGTGATTTCTCCTTAGGTTTCTGCTCTGTAGCATTCTTTTTACAAATCTTTTTGGCAGCAATTCTCTTTTTGATGGCTGCCAAGGATTCCTGAGTGAACCTACGGAAGTTGTTGGTACCAGGTAGCAAGAATTCAGCCATTTTTCATCCTTCTCTTCCTGTCACTAATTCTGTCCAAACAGAAACAAGTAGAAAGGAAGTCAAGTAACTCCAAAACAGGGAAGTTATGGAAATGAAATAACTATTTGCCCATGCATGGCTAAAAACATCAACTTTCTAAACCATCAGCTTCTACAAAGAAGAAAAAAAAGAAGAAAATATGATATATATGATAAATACTCTTTTCATTGAGTCTTCTCAGTATTTTTTCTAATTGTATGTGCAGATAGGATGTGAGCAAACCTCTATAAACTTGAGTGTATTTGGAACACCTCACTTAAGATAAACATTATCCTAAATGCTCTTGAGCTGCTCAGAGAAAAAGCCCTACTCTTCTGGTTGAGCCCAGTATTTGGAAATGAGACAGTAAAATCCATCAAACTGCACCATCAAATGTGTGGAAGCTGTCAGCAACAGGAGGATAGTAAATTCAGGTATTGAATTTACCAATGCAGATGGGGATACTCAGATGGAAAGTCTGTCCTGGTGGAGCCAGCACAGGAATGAGCAGCATCCAGAAGGATTTAATTTGTCACCCACAGAGTCAGTACTGCCTGACATGGAGCACAGAAATGCTTGATCTGACAAGGTTTATCTTTTATGCCTTCCTCTCAAAACAGAAAAGTGAGAATAGACTAGAAAAAACCCCACTTTGCCTTTTTGATTAAGAAATCTGGCCAGGTTTTGGATAGAAGCCATCCACTAAACACAACCTGAGTGCTGGCTCTGCAAGGAGATTTCTCTAAAATATTTTCTTTGATTATGACCTCTGGGAAGATGCTGTTAATTCAGTAAAGGGTCAGGGATCACCTGAGCCAGTGCAGCTGTGCAATGCATACTGTGCAATGATCCCACCTGGCTGAGGGCTCTCCCTGGGGTGGGTCAGTGCTGAGCAGGCACAGGAGATCACTTTAGAGATACAGTCAGGTTTCTTTCACTCAGTTTTTTCATTTAGAAACTCCCACCACCCCTTCAAGTATGCTTCAAATTTGACTCCAAAACAGCAATGAGAGCTTAATCTTGACATTTCAATCCTCCTGCCTGAACATCTGTTCTTCCACCTTTCCTTTCCAGAACACCCCAGGAAAACACAGCCTGAACCAAGCAGCTTTGTTTTACTTTGTAAACAATTTTTTTTGTGTGTGCTGACTGCCTGTATCTTCCCCAGCCACGCAATGCCTTTTCATTTCTCCCCAGACACAACATGATTTCAGCTGACCTCACATTGCTGAGCTGTAGGAAACCATTGCTGCGAGAACAACAGCTGGAGGCCAGTGACAAATTAACTGCAGTGAAATTGCTCCATTTTTGCAGTCTGCCTGCCTCTCCCATTAAAGCAGCACACAAAATTATGCATATGAGAAATAACTTTTCCTCCCAGCACAAATTAGCATCCATTTCTGGAAGAGAAATAGGAGAGTCAGGCAAGAATACTCATTATTCTCTACTTTTCAGTATCAGGTTAACAGTCTGGAAGCTGTGTAGTATTACAGCAAAAACAAAAAATACAACATCACCTTGCAAGATTTCAAGTCTTCATTTGGACTTGAAGGTGGTGTTTGTTTTGTTGATGTTCAGTGTAATTTAGATGTTGGGGTATCAGTAGGAGCTGTGAATGATGCATGAAAAGATTCAATTTCTGTGCAATGCATGGAGGGAATACAGTAATTACTTTATTAGGCTTTGTGCCAAATTTTTCAAACATACCCATCCCTCCAATTCCATATAAGTTTACCTGACCTCAAAAGTTCACTATTAAAATTCTGTGTTGCAGATTTCATTGTGGTTTTATGTCTTCCCTTCCATGAAACCATCTTGTAACCTTCAAGAAAAGAAACTTTGATTCTCACACCATTTTCACTCAAGACTATTCCAGGACAGAGAAGATTCCAGGAAAACAAAAGGTTTATGGCTAAAGCCAAGGATGTGGAATTAGAAGAAAGCACAAGGGCTCAAAAAACCTGGAGTCCTTTGCCAGAGCTGGAGAGCAGGCAGGGATATCTTTCCTGGTGGTTTTATAAATTGCTTCAAACAATTATGGAAAAATTAATTTTTCAGACATTAAGGGAAGGAAATCAAGCCCTGAGCTGGTTGTCTCACAGGTCAGCAGCAAAATTTCCATGAGAACAGCTGCAAGCCATGGAGCAAAAGGCTAAAACTACACTTTTCATCCATGGGCAATTCTGAGCTAATCAGCCTAATGCTGAATAAAATCCAACAATTATTAGAAATTGAGAAATTGGGGAAAAAATATCCCTGATTCATTCAAGTGTCTAAAAAGATCCCCAAAATAATTTCTGTTACTCATAGTCTCAGGGAGGGTAGCACACAAAAGACAGTTGAGATGTATTTAGTTTTTATGTGACCAGGTATCAATGGAACAATTTGACCTAAAGAAGAAAAAAAATGTTAATGGAAAACCATTTTCCCCCATTATGTCACAGAAGAAACAAAGTGCCATTTTGGCCTTTTCTCAAGACTACCTACAAAAAAGTGTGGTATTTAATACCTCTTGAAAATTTAAATTTTTCTTATCATTGGGATTCCTGAAGGAATTGATTTGGATTCACCAATAATGAACTCACCATGACCAAAGAATAATTATTTAAATTAAAAACCACAAATAAATGAACAAAAAAGCATTTATTATTTGTTCTATCAGCTGTCAAACATACTTTCTATGAATTATTTCTCAAATTCCAAAATGTGTATCTGGATAAATTTCCAAAGTAAGGATGCCTTCTTCCAAATGTGTTTTCCTCTTTAGGAATACTCATTGTGAAGAGACCAAGAAACAAGGTTATTGTCAAAGATATTTTTGCTCCTCTTATTGTTATAACAATTACCCCAATTCAATCCAAATTAATGAATGAAATTGCTTTCAATTATTTGTTTTTATGTCTTTGTCATCTGTAATAAAAAAAGGTGAAAAGGTTGACTGTTCCTGCGTTCAGCATGACCAAAGTAATTAGTGTCATCAGAGTGGCCAGGATTACCTTGCTTATTTTTGTTTCTTTCTTTCTTTAGCTTGGAAGATTGTTACTGTGCTTCACTTGGGCTGTGTTGCATCTTTCTACACCTGAATTTCCAGAGGAGAAGTCAATTTTTTCTAGAACTGAATAAAAAAAGATGTACTAGCAGATCAAAGTTTCTGTAGAACTGTTCTACTCTTTCCCCAAAAACGTTTCTGTGTTTTGAGGCAGATTATTCAATCAAACCAAACTGACATTTTCTCAATGGCTCATAAGATACATATTAAAATAACACTTGTGTTAAATAACTTATTAACACATGTAACTTTTTAATCAGAGAATAATTTGTGTTGAAAGAGGACCTAAGAGGTTCTTCAAAATGGATAAATCATGAGGTCAGGGCTTTACCCAGACAATTCTCCAGGAACAGACTCAGCACAATCTCCCTGAGTAACCTGATCCAACACTTGACTGTCTCAACCCATTTGGATCCCCTTTGTTTTAATTTATGCCTCTTGCCTTCCCACTATACAAAACTGTCACAATAAAAAAAAAATAAAGAAAATATTACATTCATAGAATAATTGAATGGTTTGGGTTGGAAAGGATCCTTAAGATCATCCAGTTCCAATCTCCCTGCCTTGGGGAGATGCCTTTCCACTATTCCAGGCTGCTCCAAGCCTTGTCCAACCTGGCCTGGGACACTCCCAGGATCCAGGGGCAGCCACAGCTTCTCTGGGCACCCTGTGCCAGGGCTTCCCCACTCTCTGAATAAAGAATTTCTCCTTAATATCCAGTTTAAATTTCCCCTCTCTCAGTTTAAATCCAAATCCATTGTCCTGTGACTTGATTCTCTTGTCTAAAGTCCTTCTCCGGCTCTCCTGGAGCCCCTTTAGACACTGGAAGGGGTTCTCTAAGTTCTCCCTGGAGCTTTTACTTCTCCAGGCTGAACAGCCTCAGCTCCATTAGTCTGTCTTTTATTTGAAAGGTAAAAGGCACCCCCAAAATGCCTCTCCATAAGGAGAGTACATATTACCCCTTCTGCAGCCCATTCAGCTCCTTCCTCTATTGCAGCCTACAAGGAACATCTCCCAGGTCTGATTATCACCACCCTGTGCAGCTCTACTGAGATTGCCAAGGAAGGCAGACCCCTCCTTGCAATCAACAAAATTGTGAATTGAGAGCAGCTAATGATGACTGAGCACAGAGATTAACACAGACACATGAAGAGTATAAAAAAAAAAAAACAGCAACAGATTTTTATCACTAATGTGAGATAAATCCTCACTCTTCAAACTGGGATTTACAGTTTACTGTTCTCAGGAGAATGAAGGTAGCAAACTGTGGAGATTCACAAAATAATTCACCTGATAAAGCCATTTAGCATTCTTCCAGAAAGCCCCTCTGGGTGGGACTCATTTCACCTCAGTGAAGACATCTTGGAGTTACAAAGCTACACCTCCACAAGCTCCTGCTGCCTGCTGACACTCCTTTTCACATTTCTTTCAGAAAAGAAATGCCAGTTGACTACAACTGATGACCTGAGATGTCTCAAGTGAGATGAGATAAATTCAACTCTTTGCATCCATTACACCTACTCCTGTCACTTCCCCTACTAATGGACAGCTGCTAAACTTCCAAAGATTGGTGACTGTACAGTCAGTGGTGGAACTGGGAAACATCATTAGTCACCAGCAGACTGTGAACACATAAAAATTCTATGATTGCTTAATATTGAATTGTCTCATTAATGACTACTTCCAGCACAAGCCTTCTCAGCAATTAGTGAAGCGTTAAGTCACATTTTCTTTTGCCTGGTAAGGGGGCACTAATATTCAGCTACTTTGCAATCATAAATAATTTAAATCTGTGCAGAGATCACTTTCTGTAAGTGCTTGAGCAATTGACAAGTTGTCAAATGGCCAGTTGTGAGCACTGAGGAAGCACAGAGTCCCTGTGGCAGGGCAGGAGTGAACCTGAGAGAAAAGAGCTGAAATGCTGTTAATGACC